CACTGAGACTCACTTCCCCTCTTCGGGGCTGCAGCAGGGCTGTGGGCATTCACAGCAGCTGGGAGCTTGTTTGCCCGAGTGGCAGCTCAGTCACCCTCTGCTCCTGGGTCATACCAGCCTTTGTGCTTGGTGTGCGGGGCATCCCCACTGGGTCCAAGCCTGTGCTGCTCTCTGTGGGCCACGTGGACCTGTGGGCTCTCCCACTAACCTGGGAAGCCATCACACGGGGGCTCAGGGCTGCCATCACCTGTTTCCACAGTCGCGCTGAGGCACGCTTCCACCCTTGGGACTGCAGCGGTGCTATGGTTGCTCCAGCTGGTTGCTCCAGCTACGCGTGCGCTGGGCTGCCTGGGCTTCAGAGGGGCCTCATCTATCTCCACTACCTCCTCAGGGGGTAGTCCATCCACCTTCAGATATACAGCTGCTCGGGTCTCTCAGGCGTCCTGATGTGCTGTGTGGGTGTCCTCTGCTGATCAATAAGTATCCTTTTAGTTGTAGTTCAAAGGGGAAGAAACAGGGAACAGCTCACTCTGCCATGTTGCTGACATCCCTAACACTGAGAGGTAAATTTTTGAGACCTTGAAAATCTTAACATGCTTTTTTCTGACCCTCATATTTGATTTACCATTTTCCCAGTTATTGATTTCTTTATTTGAAATACTTTTCCTTTGAAGACGTCACTCTATTTCATTCTGCTTTCCACTGTTGCTGTAGGAAGTTCAATACCATACTTATTTTTAGTCTCTTTTATCTTTATATATATGTATGGATGTGTGTGTGTATAGATGTATATCTATATGTATATATACAAATGTATGTGTGTGTGTATATATATATACATACACAAATAAATTTAGGATCTCCCTTTGTCTCCAGTGTTATAAAATTGTACAACATACCAACATACCTTGGTGTGGGTCTGTTTGTGTACTCTATGGGTCATTTCAAACTAGAAAATTAAGATTTTCAGGTATGAGGATCTTGCATGATTTAATTATTTGGTGGTTTTCTCTCATTCTAGAAATACTATTATTCAGATGTTGAATTTCCTGGATTGATGCTCTAATTTACTTAACTTTTCTGTTTCTGTGTTTTGCCCTACATTATGGGAGATTTTCTAATTTTTATCTCAACTCACCTCCTAAGATTTTTATTTGTGTCATAATACTTTTAGAGTTCCTTATTTTTTATTCCCTTTTTTGTAGCAACATGTTCCTGTTTCATTGATGTAGTGTATTTTTTTATAGAGTTGATAGTATTAATAATAGGTTTTTTGTTTTTTATTTCCTTCCACACTATATTTCTTCCAAGTGACTTTTCTCTCTGTATTTGTTTTGTTATCAGTCTTTGATGTTTGAGGATTTCTTTATATATCTTGTGACCCTGAATTAGTGGTTTATGTATAAGAGAATGGAGCACTATAAAAGCTGATGGAAGCTCTGTACGTATGGGTAGATCTTTTCACTGGTGAGCCTCACTATAGGATAATATTGCAGGGCTGTTTCACTGAGAAGTTTCTGGTATCCCTATCTTGAGGTATTTTATTTGTTCTTGAGCTGGTCAGATTCCTGAGTAAGTAAGGCATAAGCCAGGCTGCATTGAGTTCTGGAAGCCACGTAGGAGAGGACAGGAGGAATCAACATCCAGTGTTGACTGAATGGTTTGCCGTAACCATCAGTTACTTCACTTCACTGAAGGTTTGCAGTAAAGTGGTACCCCTGCCCTCCTCTGTGCTTGCTTTCTGACAGTCCTTCACCTTGACGGTAAAAAAGGAAAATAAAGAAGGCATCCCAGTGACATGTGTATTAGATTTACTCTTCCAGTCTTCTGCAGGGGTTGGGGAGAAATGTTACCAGCCTGTAGGGAATGGAATAGGGCAGCTGAAGCTCTAACTACTTCTACAATAGATTTTAAGTCTCCTTCTGTTTTCAATACTCCCTTCCCTTCTAGAAGTACCTTGTGGTACCACTCTGGAGTATTTTGGGGGTCAAATGGTAAAGTTGTTAGCATCTTGGCTTCTCCCCACCTTTGGCTTAGGAATCAGCATTCTTGGCTATGCTGAATCAGTTACTGCTTGTCCTTCTGCTTACCAGGTTTTCATCACTAGTGTCTGTTCTTGATCTCTTTTATATTGTAGGTTCATTTTTTTAGCCCCTTTTCCTATTATTTTAGTGAGATTTCATGATTAAAATACCCTGTAATCTACTCTTTTCAACAAAAATTATATTTTAACATTCTTTCTTGTCGGTAAATATACTTTCACATCAACATTTTAATGCCTGCATAGGAATCTCTTTTTAGATATCAACTTATCCCGTATTATTATAAACATGGGTTGTTATAAGCAATATTGCAAAGAACCTACTTCTAACTAAATTTTATATCATTCTTTAAATAAATTTAAAATGTGGGAAAATCATGAATTATTTCTTAAAATATTTATTACAAAATGGCATCTTATTTCCAACAGCATGAGGACAATTCCTTTTCTAACGTAGACCATTCAGTGTAAACATTCCATTTAACAACTTTTCCCACCAGATGGTAAATTCTGTGTATGTTTAGTTCATCCTACTTACCCAGGCTGTGCCCAGAACAGGGTAGGCACCCAATACGTATTTGCCAAGTAGACGACATATACATAGTAAATGAATTTTTATTATTTTGTTTTAAAACTTCAAAGAGAAAGGGGTCTGGTATGGAAGGAAGCAGGATGTAATTAAGTTTTAAATATCTTATTTTCCTCACTTTGAGTTACTTTGAGGTAACTCAGGTCATGAAGTTAGTACGATGGAGAACCAGATTTAAAAAGAAGGAAACCAGCATGGCAGGATGCTGTGTAGACCTACCTACACCCGCTGCACCTGCAGCATTTTTGCAGGCAGACGTGTAACAAAAGGCTTTAAATACAAGATACTAACATGAACTATGTTTCACTTCGCTTTATTTTGGAATTTAAGGATGAGCATTCTATCGTACAGAGATAATATATACTTATTGGGATTAATTACATGGTTGGATTAAATAAATATTATTTGCTTAATCTAGTCCCAGCTTTTTCAAAGTGAAGTCTGCACATAACCTGACTCAGATTCACATGGGATCTTGTTGAATATGCAACTTTCTCTGGCTCCCCTGAGACCTATGGAATCAGAATCACTGTGGGTGGCCTGGTATTCTGCATATAACAAACTCCTCATATGCACATTACAGTTGACATGTGTTCTCTAGACCAAAATACATGACTGTTTCAGAAAGTTAGGTGCATATCTTACATAAATTTGAAAAATCTAATGAAATATTAGAATTAATGATTAGCAGAAAATTCTGAAAAACTGTTTTAACATATTTTATTGCTTTTTCCTTCAGTTATTACTAAGAATTCAACTAATTAGGTTAACATACAGAAAGTCAGGAAAAATCATCACAGATCTTTTTTTTCTGAACTTCTCATTCTCTGATGTAACCAATAGCTAGGCACATTAATTTGTAGTTTAAAAAAATAACATGCACACTGTATACATCTATTGTGTATATTGCACTTTTTACCTAGAATTTCAATTTTTTTTTTTTTTTTTTTAAAAAATTTTATTTATTAAGTTCTTCCCCCCAAAGCCCCAGCAGATAGCTGTACGTCACAGGTTCACATCCTTCTAGTTGCTGTACGTGGGACTCGGCCTCGCGTTGGACGGAGAAGTGGTGCCTCGGGGCGCTCCCGGGATCCGAACCCGCGCCGCCAGCATCAGAGCGCGCGCACTTAACCGCTAAGCCACGGGGCCGGCCCTAGAATTTCAATTTTTAACCCAACATCTTTTAGATAATATTTTTGTTGAAATTTGATTTAATTATAGGCAAGCTGGATGTGTTTGAGAGAGATTTTAAACGTTGCTCAGAGTGACAGTTTATGCAGTGACATAGCATGTATGAGAGCTCTTACCATGTGCCTGACACATAATAGGTTACAATTAATGCATGCCCCCTTCTCAGTAATTACTTTCCAGAAGTGGTGGTAAAGAAGGAAAATACAAAAACTATCTCAGGATATGTCACCCTGTGTTAATGAAACATTGTTTTACTATTTAAAAGGTAAAAAATTAGATTCTTCCAATAATATTAGCTAACATTTATCAAGTGTTACTATGTAACATACACACGCTAAGCTCTTGATGTGAGGTAGGTGCTTATGATTATCTCCATTTTAATGATAAGAAAATGAGGCACAATGAGATTATTTTAAAGTTATCCAAGGTCAACTAACAGGTAAATAATAAAACCTAATTTTGAACCCAGAAAATCTGTCTCTAGAGATCACAGCTACTATTGTGTCTTCCATGGAAGATGTAGAACCATTGCTACTGTAATAGGTAGGCACTTCTGCATGTAAAAGCTGATGGGGAAGATGTATCTTTTGAAATATATTTTAATGATAACCAAGTTTTCATCTTCATCTTCCTTGCCAATTTTGTAGATTAAATATTTCTAATAATTTCTTTAAAATATATATGATATACCAGAAGTAAAGAGAGCCCTAAGGTAAAGAGACTGGTAGAAAGACAGTTTTAGGGCCCAAACACTCTGGGTTTAAATGCTGGCTTCATGATTTATTAGCTGTATACAGCTCACTTACGCTTCAAGTCTTAATTTTCTCATCTGAAAGTGAGAATGATAATATTTACCCTCAGTATTACCATACAGAGTAAAGATAATCTATATAATAGTGTCTCATTGAGCTCCTTGCTTTCAACCAAATACAACTATTATAATTTAATGTATAAAATACTATCCTGAAAGGATTGTGAGAATTTCTATATTCTGTATGAGACATATTATATAGAAAGTTTAATTTTTAGTATCAACAGTACCAAAATACCTGTTTTCCGTTTAAATCTTTAAGTATCATGAATACCTAATATTTTGTTTAATCTCGTTATTCTTTGGACAGAAGACTTTGGCTGGGCTATCCCACAAATACTTAATCTCTTCCTTTTTCTTCTTTTCAGCAAACTTCCTTGATAACATGCTTTTGCGAAGTTCAGGAAAATTAAATGTGGGCACCAAGAAAGAGGATGGTGAGAGTACAGCCCCCACCCCTCGTCCAAAGATCTTGCGTTGTAAATGCCACCACCATTGTCCAGAAGACTCCGTCAACAATATTTGCAGGTTGGTCATATAAATTGTTTAAATCTAGTTTTAACAGAAAGTCATACTTTTTCGACTATAGAATTATAGGACAGTGTTTCTAAGAACACGTTTTGGGGAATAGTGCCTAATCCCATTAACTCCCAGAGCTGTGCCTGTGTTTAGAGAAATACTGAACTGCATTTTGCCCTGAAATGGTATTCTGAGATTCCTTTTCCTTCCTCCAAACATCGCACATCCACATAACCGTACGGCACAGTCCCAGGCTTCTTGTCAAGGAGCAAAAACCAACTATTTTCTTTCAAAAGACCTCTTCCCCAAAATAAATTTAACAGTAGGGGGGGTCAAATGTGTGGGGTTTTTTGTTTGTTTTAACCATTCATCATGCTGATGGTGTTAGTATTTTGGAAAGACCACCTAAGCTGTTAGGAATATTCATAAACTGACTCTGGGAAGCAGTATAGTGTTGGAGGTTGTATGAGTCCACAAGACTTTGGGAAAGATGTTGTCCAAGTGCAAGAGAATCAACTCCTTAGTAGATAATCATGTTTGTATAAATACTTTCTAACATTTGAAACTGGACTATTCGCTTCTTTCTTCCTTACACATCTTTTTGCAGCCACATCCGTTTTGCTGGTCACTATAGTTGCATTTACTCCCCAGGGTGAGGACAAGTGGGTAAAGAGGCATAGCCTAAGGAGGTCCGAGTGTGCTGAGGGAGAAGTGGCTGAGTTAACCAGACAAGCGTAGATCTTAGGAATTAAAATGTCAGAGAAGTACAGTCTCCCTCAAGAAGAGTAATGGACCCAAGAGGGAGATGGGCTGCTAGGTTTGAAGTCCAGGCAGGATACCTGGGCAACCATTTGGGGCCTCATTACCCCGGAAGGAGCGTGAAGCTGAGTTGAATGCTTTTTTTTCTTCCTGAGACCTTTTTTTTTTTAAGTTTCCTATGAAGTGTGATCTAATGTAAGCTTGCCAGTGTATCCTGAAATATATAGCTCAAGGAGTATATATTAACTGAATGACACAGAGAGGAAAGTTGGATATATTCATAAATATATATGTCATTTATTCAGCGAAACAACTTAGCATGGTAGGGAATGCTTATTTCTTACCATTACATATAAGGAATTCAGGACCCAGAGAGGTCTAGTAATTTGGCTCTTGTATGATAGAACAAAGTTGGGATCACTGAGCCTTGTGCCAAGGTGAAAAAACTCCAAAGCTCAGATAGCATTTCCTGGAAAACACTACCTCTTTGTAGTAAACAGAAAAAGTATCAGGAAAATTACAGTTTTCTGAAGAAAGGAAAATTAGCAGGAGGAAGAATATTAAGGAGATATTTTACTATTTTGTCGGAGTCTGTAGTAATTAAGAATAAGTCTGTCTGTGTCATTGGAGCTATAGGTCTCATGATCTTATGTTCAGGCTTTCCAAAATTATCCCAATTTCAAATATTTTGTCCTGTTTTCCTTATAGGCCACTGAAGTGTCCTAAGTTGATTTGGGAGAAAGTATTCAGGCAGGGTTAACTGCAAGGCAGATTCTCTGTGGTGGGAAGGAGAAGCGTGCTTGTTCCAAGAAGACTGGTTTTCCTAGAATGCAGGGAGTGGAAGGAGATGTGGAAGGAGTTGAGCCTAGAGACGGGGGAAAAATGACCGCTGGCCTAGTAGGCTGTATTAAGAGTGCTGGTCTTATTCCTGAGAGTATTGGGAAGCCACTGAAGGGAACGTTCAAGCAGAAGTAGCAGTGAGATTGATGTAATTTGATTTGCTTTTTTGAAAAATTTTCTTTGCTGCAGAGTATTGAATGTATTAGACAGAGACAAAGGTGAATTCAAGAAGAACAACAGTTACGTGAGAGAAATTGAAAAGTGGATTCAGGAAGAACAGTTCATGTGAGAGAAAATGATCTTAAGCTAGGGCAGTATTGGTGCAGGAGAGAGTTGGATGTGTTGGAGAAATATTTAGAAGAAAAGTTTTATGTTGATGAATTGGATATGGGAGGGGGACAAGAGGGGCTCCACAAGTTTCTGGATGTACATTTAGGTGCTTATTGTAGCCTTTTAATGAAAGTGGACAGAGGAAAATAATCATGCTCCAATCTGACATGCTAAGTTTGAGGTTTTTGACACATCCAAGTGGAGATATCAGGGAGTAGGGAGTAGGATATAGATTTGGAGCTCAGATAAGATGTTGAGGAGAGAGTAGAGAGTGAGTAGAACCTATTAGTCGGTTTTTGTTTTGAAACAAACAACCTCAAAATCACAATGACTTACAACTAAAGACATTTATTTTTTCCTTCATGGGTCTACAAGTGGGCCGCAGCTGTGCTGGGCTCTTCTGGATTGGGTGGGCTTGGCTTCAGGCTGCTGCTTGAGTTCAGGCCTGCTCCACACATTTCTGCATTCTTCTTGTACCAGCAGCTACTCAGGACATATTCTTTCTCACATGAGGGTAAGGGAACAACTTCTTAAAGCTTCTGCTTGTATCGTGTCCCCTAACATTCCATTTACCAAATCAAGGGACATAGTCAAGCTCAAAGTCAAGGGGAAGCCGTGACTTGGGTGGGGTATTGAGAACGCTAAAAGAATAATCCAGTCTACTAGGGAAGGACTGAGCCTTGAGATGTTTAATGCTTGAATGAAGGAGGCTCCCCCCAGGAGACTCAGAATTAGCAGTAAAGCAGTGAGTATGGTGTCACTGAAGCCAAGTTTATAGAGGAGGGAAGTAAGGTCAACTGTGTTGGATCTTGTTAGAGGTCAAGTAGGATAAGAACTGAAACGCAGCAATCAGATTTATTGACCTTGATAACTACAGTTTAGAAATATTTAATGTGGAAATAAAAATGGAAGCTAGATTAGAATGGGTTGTGAATTATACGGTTTCCAACCTTTGATTTATGATAGCAAAGAAAAAGAAAACAAAAATACAACAAGAACAAAAACAGCAACAATAACAATGGAACCCATCAAAAAAACATGGGTATACCATGACAGTCAACATGAATTGGTTAACTTACAGAAGTCAACTTTTCTGTTGACTAATATTTATTGAGCTTTTTATAGATACTAGCATATTTACTTTCACCTATCTTTAATCATCACAGCATTTCTATAAAGAATGTAGCATTGTCTGTATTTTCCAAGTGAGAAATCTGAGGCTCTGAGAGGTTAAGTAATTTTCACTAGGTCACTGTTAATTGTGGCCGAGAGTCCTCAGTCCCGAATTCTTGACCAACAGCCAAGTCCTGACACTGGTTCTCAAAGGAGCTAATAGTCACTCTTGAGTAAAATGCACATCTATTTTGTTAATGAAGTGTTGACTCCAGTTGAGTCTCCTATGAGCTGAGATTAATCATGTGTGATTCACAGGGGCTACTTTTGTTCCTGTGCCCTAAGACCTAGAATAAATGCAGGCCTTTCTGCCTCCATTCCTGTAAGCACACATTCTACTCTTTGACCTCCAAATCAGTACTTCTCAAGCTATCTCTGGTGAAAGATAGCCCCCTCCCCCTTGCTCCAATAAGTTTGCACTGATACTTTTCTAAAGTACAGTAAAAATGAATTAAAAGAAAACATAAGTTTTAAAATACTTACAAATTCACGCTCCATTTTTTCTATTTTCTATTATTCAAATTCAACAGATCTAAACTTATTGCTACACAAGTTGTAATTCTGTGTTAACCTCCTCACAGACCAGTAACAAGCAGTTTGCTGACCTGCAGGGGAACACACTTTGAGTAATAGTGCACTAAATCTTGCCCTGCTAAATCTAAGGACAAGGGTGTGCTTGCTTGAGGCCCAGATAAGGGCTGGTCTAAGCTGTCTGGCCTGAGGCCTTGTACCAGGCAGATCTTAGCCAAGCTGGGTGTCCTAGGTGGGTCTCATGCTCCCACCTTCCTAGAAAGAAGAATCCAAAAAGTGGCCCAAATCAAGAGTACATCATACTTAAAAGAGATTCTGAAATCCCACATGATAATTCAGAAAACATGTGCAAAGTTTAGAGGGTTTTTAAATTCTTCATGAATACCATCAATCACTTTACCAGCCAACACCAAGGCCAAAGTCTTTCTTGGCCTTGATTCCTATCAGGTGCAGATGTGTCTGCTTCCAAGATCCATGCCGTTTCCATTGCCTAATGGCATGCATGTTAGAGGATGTCGTGCAAATATATCATGCTGAATACAGTATTAGAACCTTTTTTCATATCCATAATTCAAAGTAAGGGGTGAAGCCATTGTCCTATCTCCCTCCCTCAAGATAATATTTATCTTCTAAATATCTTTCCAGGTGTTACTCTGCATTGTTAATCCTTCCCATTCCATTTCCAGATTCTGTGCCTAGGACCCTAGAATACCACTGCATGCCTTGAACACTGCAAAGTCTGCTTGAATAACTCTTTTTTACATGACTTTCACTGTGCCAATGTTCTTTTCCTGTCCTAGCAGATATAGTCTCAGCCTGTTATTTATTTATTTTCTCTGTGTAATCTGGTACCCACATTACCTAGCCTTCTGTGTTTTACTTGACTGGGTCTGTGATAGTCGTTTTTGTCCCTGTGTCATCACTTTTCTCAGGTTCTTCCACTCCCTCACACAAGTCTATCAATTTCTAAAAATTATTTTTTTACTCTGTTTCAGAGATAATTTTAAATATTTCCTCATTTATCTTACTGGGTTCTGAACAAAAATTCTCCTGCCTGGACAGTTTTCAGAGTTTACACACGTAGTAAATCACATCAGATGTCTGCACGAGGATGTGCAAATGACAGCGGGCTGCCTAAGTGAGGAATTAGCCAAGTCTCCGTCTGTACCTTGAGGAGTCCTGGGGGTAGAGGGGAAAGCTCAGAGGCTGGGGCTTTTTTACAAAGTTGTATTAACCCAGGGCTTCTACACTTCTTGCCGAATGTGACGGTGGGAGTTTTCAGACAGGTGCTCCTGAGCCAGGCTCTCAGAGAATTTAAGGTGCGTCTTGTTCTCGTTTGTTTATTTATCTTCCGTTGCGTCCAGCTTGTTCGACTGTTGCCCCAGCCATCTGAACATTGAGATTTATGATCTTTTATTTTCCCAGTAGAAGATGTTGAGTTCACACCATTGCATTTATGTGAATGAGAATTATGAGTTCATTAGAACTTGTAATTTAGTTGGAAGACGCTTTGATTTCAAATTCACTTATGAAGTCTTTTATGAGGAATAACTCTCCTTTTTTCCCTCTCATTAGTCATAAATGAGAGTGTTAAATGAGCCCTTTTGTTGTTGGACTTAATGGAAAGTGAATAGTGTAGGGCTTTTTAAAATTTATGTAATAGAGAACCATTGGAGATTTTTGAGCAGAGAAGGAAAATGTCAGATTTATCAGGCAGTGCTGGACAGATGGGTTCGAGTCCAGAGAGGGGAGAGATGCTGCTAGAAGGCTCTCCCAGCAGTCTGTTGAGAGGGGGTGAGGGTCTGCACACGGTGGTGATGGTGAGGATATACGAATGCTTGACTGATATAAAAATTGAGACAAGTTCAAAAAATCTTGTACCTCATTGAAAAAAATGAACAAAATGCTAGATCAGTTGGTATGGCTGCCAGAGAAGGATGTATGATAGCTACACATTCTTGAGGATAAAGTAAGAAGGCATCTCTCACGTTGGAACTTCATCATTAATGTTGTAACTTCACCTTCCTCCAGGACTATGAGCCCCCAGAGGAAAAGCCAGGGAGGGGGAGCGGTAGTAACTGTATGTATTTTACCCTCTCTCCCTCCACAATTATGGGAATCCCACCCACCTAAGATGATGAGGAAGGAAAAACAACACAAACCTTAGGATTCTATTACTGTAGTAATTACTACTGCTCAGCATTCTTCTTTGCTTTTTTCCCCCATCAGTAGAAAACACTTGACGAGCTTATGATTTCTCTCCCTGCTGCTTGAACTTGAAGGTGAATGGTGTCCCTTGGGATCGGTGGCTTTCATAGACAAGGAGCTCCTCAAAAGCCAAACTGCGTCTTCCTCACTCTGGCCTTCTCAGCATCTAACTCTGCCTGAATCACAGTGTACTCAGTACATGTTTGTAAAATGAACTTTTAACAAAGCCCTCAGCAGCTTTCAGCTGTTTTAGTTAACTAACTAAAATCTATATGATTTAAATAGGAACTCTAAAAGTTATACATATCTTTGAGTTTACCTGTGACAGAAAACTTTGAAAACTTTCTTTATTCCCTTGAATATTTTAGAAGATAGAATGTTCTCAAGGACCTTTTTACAAATGACCTAAAATCAAGCAACCTTTTCAAATTGATTCTGACTGAAACTTAAAAGAAATTTGAAAGAAATGTAGGAATTCTAGACTTTCTCACATACTGAAAAAAAATTGGAATAGATATTGATCAAAGAGCTATTAATCCTTGAGGGCCGATGCACTTGAGAAGGTATCCATCATATCCCTCAATGATTATTTTTCGTTGAGAGCAAAAATTTAAACCATTTAATAATTAAATAGTACTTTTTAAGTTATTTAATAATTTTTGTTATTTTAATGCTTTAAAATTTCCTATTACTCTGAGCAGAGCAGATAAACTCTTTAACTAATACTTAAAAAAATTACTTTATAGTTAAATTAATCTTTAAAAAGATCTAAACGAGTTAGAAGAAAAATTCTGCAATAATTCCTTCTCAACTGTGGTGGTGATGTTTCTGAACAACCCTGGGGTTTCGATAGAGAAACATACAATCTTAGCGGGAGAATAGAGTTAAAGGGACCAAAACTTGGGGAAACCTTCTAAACACTGTACTTACTAAAATAAAATAATTAATAGAGCACTTCATTATATAAAGATGCTGTCAATGCAGTTTTACACATATTATGAAATTTGTTTCTAACCATTCTGCAAGAACTAATGATCGAGTTGAGGTCCCAAATGCTCTTTATAAATCCATTTGATCATGAATGAGGAGAGTCAAAGCTTGCAGGCTCTGGCTGCGCATCTACCTGAAAAGAGTATCAGTTGGTCCCTCAGAGCTTTACACCAGGTGCACCCCTTTCTCACTTGCTAGTAAATGTTCACTGCGCATTGACAGTGCACACTGAAATGCCCGCTGAAATGCACCCTGAAAGTCTCTTGAGGCAGTCAATCCCCGGATGATCTCTAGATATTCCAGACATCATTGCTTTTGGAATATTGGGCAGATTCAAGGAGCCTTGAACCTTTGGCCCCGTTCAAGTGTTGTAACAAAGTTTTATTATCGCTGCTTTGATATCATTTGACTTTTAAATTCTCAAATGCTTTGCTTTTTCATGAATTAACAGTATAAGAGGCACTCAGAACTGATGACTGATCATCTTGGTATGCAACTGTTGTTCTATTTTGTCAATTACTTTTCTTTGCCTGTGACACAGGGACAGCATTTTTGAAATGTTGCATGTATTGTCTTTTTTTAAAATGCATAATCATCACTGTAGTAACATGATTGATCCTACATTCCTGTATACATCTCACTGCTTTCGATGTTGTTTAAAATTATTTCAACTTTTGTTTCCTTCATGATTTTTCATCTCTTCTTGTTACCACTTTCAACACTCTGGGAATGATGGGGTAATAAACTATATAAAACATATAAAAGCTTAAACATGGCAACCAGGCAGCAGAAGGTTCAAATAAGCCAATGGTAAGAGTTAATTGCTCTGTGACATTCAGCAGCCTTCTCTTGGTGGTGGGTGGAGTTGCTCAGCTCAGACCCTGGGGCGTAGCTTTGTTTACCTTTGCTCTTGCTGGAGAGTTGCAAGTTCTCAAGTAATTCTTCAGGTTCTGTAATTGTACTGCTAGTTTCCAGTTGATTTTCTTACTGACTGGCAATTTCAGTGAGCAGCTTAGGACTTGTCTCTGCTTTGTTGCAGATCATATGCACTTGAAATGGTTCTCTCACCACTTTGCTTGTCCCCCAGCTAAGTATTTGATTCCTGTCCCGATTTATGATGCATGGGATGGGGTCTCTGTTCCTCTTTATCTCGTCTTTGTATGTTAGCTCCACCCTCTTGGAAGACAGAGGAGTGCATTTTTAAGGCTTGAATTGACTCTCCCTTAACGTTTGTTTATATTTCCTGGGATGTCTAACAGTAATTTGCCAACAGCTTTGCCAGCTTTTTCTCTTCTCTTTTTTGATTCTTATAGGGTGCCTAAAAGTACATTTCCATAGACTCAGATTTTGAGCAAAGGGAACTCATGATTAAGGAGAAATTAGTCTTTTTGGATTTAACATATTATATCAACTTTTCTAGCTGCTCTGAATTCCTCATGTCAGAAAATTAAGATGACTTTATTTCTGATAATTCCTGGATTTTACTTTTGATGAGAAATATAAGTTACACATATAGGAATGTGTAGGAAAGGAATAAAACAATCACATGGGTGTTTTTGGTTATATTGGGTAAGGTAAATTTCTAAGGGACAGCTCTGTTATTTACTGCCTTCAGTGTTTACATGCTTTAGATTTTCATAGCAATTTCGGTAAATTGGCTAAAAAGCCCCAAATAATTCAGAGCATAGGCTGTTCGGAGGCAGTCTTTCTCCACGGCAGTATTCATGCATTTGACCTTATTCTAACAAAGACATTTATCATTGGCTCTTCCCAGCCATTCATTAGTATGTGTGAACTTTGCTGTGCTAGTTCTGATAAACTGAGGGATTTTGGATTACTTGAGGCTTACAGACCAAGTAAACAGTTCTATGGGTGTTGATGATAACTGAAGGGCTAGTATATGGCAGAATGCTGCTACCACTAATGCAGAATAGACGAGCACACAAATGATGGCTGATGCCATTCTCAGAGCTCCTTCCCCTGATCTTTCAGGATGACGTTGTCATATCTGTCTGGATGCTGAGCATGCATATGTATGAGAATAGTTTGGAGATAGAGTTTAGTGCTTTATTTCTTAGCACATGCAGCAGTGGTTTATGACTTACAGTGGGAGTCTGCTGGCATTCATCACCCAAACTTGTGAAGACAGTAGTGTCTGTTTATAAGTAGTTCTATATATACTAGTTCTAGTTTTTCATTTTTAGTCCTGGGAGAGGATAGTAGAAAATGTGTGGGGATGAAGTGAAAGGTCCTTGATTCAAGGCCTGATTCTGTAACTGTTTGTTTTGCGACCCTGTACAAATTTATTATTCTCTCACAACTTTAATTTCCTCATCTGTAAAATAGAAATAATATTACTTTCTTCCCATTGTTGTTGAGAAGATTAAATGAGATAGAATAATTGAAAATTCTTTTGAATCTAGAAAACTGTACAGAAATTAAAAATATTGTTTCTTTACCTTCCATGGTCTTGTTAAAACCCCCTTCTTTCTGTGTCCATCTGAATCTTAGTCACCTCAGCCATGCTGTGCTGATCCCAGCTCCCGCTCCTCAGTTTGTGTGCCATAGGGAAAGGTAAGTTTATCTCACCACCTCAGAGCGAGTAGCACCAGCACGGACGTTCACTCGCACGGGTTCAACCCCTCTGGGCCTCTCACCAGCTGTATGGCCTTTGAGAAATTACTCAAGCTCTCTGAGCCTCAGTTTCCTCATAGAGAAGGTGAGGGTAGTACTACCTTCCTCACAGAGATTTTTCTGGAAGGTGATACCTATGAAGTACCAAAATAAGTGGTTAATAATTGGTATGTATGGTTGTTAATGGTATATGTTATATGGAAATTTTGGATCCTTTCTCGTAAGTTTCTGGACCGAGGAGATATTACCAAATGTTTTATAGTAATTAGAGCAACTTTCATAACAGGAAGTTTGGGGATTCTCTTAACAGATTTTAACCTGTAATGATCATTGACTTTCTCCTTGTTTGTAAGGAGACAAATGATAAACATCTTCATTCCCTTTTCCCCTAGACACACACACACACACACACACGTGTACGCGCGCATAGACACACTGACTCTGCCTGTCTGGTCTTCAGCACAGATGGATATTGTTTCACGATGATAGAGGAAGATGATTCTGGGATGCCTGTGGTCACTTCTGGATGTCTAGGACTAGAAGGCTCAGATTTTCAATGTCGGGTAAGGAAGATAACTTAATTCTGCTTTGTAAGCTTTCATCAGCTAGATTTCAAACAGTCAGGTTTCAAGCATGATAAAACAATTGTTTTTTTTTGGGCTATCCTGTTATTAGTGATTTGGAAAATAATTTGAAAATTCTCATTGGGCCAATTCTTTATTCCTTTCAAAATCAAATATTCTTTTTATTTTTGCTGTTAACTTCTGGCTTAGTGACCCCATTAGATCATCTTGTTGAAATTCCAATTTAGTGAATTGCAATAAGCCAAGCCTTCTTTCTAGTTTATACTATGCACACTGGTTATTATAAATGTAGTAGTAATTTTGTTGAAATGCAAAAGTTGCAGTAAGATAATACATGATAATTTGAAAGAAATTACCTAATAGAAAACATTTTCAATGTGTTTGAATAAAATTATCAGAATTTTGAGTTCTCTAAATGTTAATTTCTTAAGTTTTAGATTATGTGACTGAAATTTAGGGGAAACCCGCTAACAGCTGTTTGAGTTCGATTTTAGGACACTCCCATTCCTCATCAAAGAAGATCAATTGAATGCTGCACAGAACGGAATGAATGTAATAAAGATCTGCATCCCACGCTGCCACCACTGAAAAACAGAGGTAAGGAGAGGGCGGCTCCCGGGCTGGAAGAGCTTTAGGCTTAGAGAAAGTAAAGCTTGAATTACCCCCTCTTTTCTAATGAATCTACCTGTACTGGTTTCCACTGCTAGGGCAGAGGACTGAGGCAAGATGACGCAATGAAAGTGTCATTCAAAGGTGTGTGCAAGTCGTTCTTTGGAAAATAGTCATGCATAGCTTCACTCTTATGAATCTCATTTCCTTTTTTTGGGTGAGGAAGATTCGCCCTGAGCTAACATCCGTGGCCAATCTTCCTCTTTTTTTGCTTGAGAAAGATTGTCCCTGAGCTAACACCGGTGCCAGTCTTCCTCTATTTTGTATGTTGGATGCCACCACAGCATGGTTGACAAGTGGAGTAGGTCCATGCCCAGGATCTGAACCCACAAACCTGGGCCACTGAAGCGGAGCACATGGAACTTCAACCACTTGGCCACAGGGCCGGCCCCTGAATCTTATTTCTTTAACCTCTCCCCACTTCCTTCAGAAAACTACAGTTTTTAGAGCTGGTGGTGTGTTTCAGGAGGGTAGAGGAGGGGGACATTGTTTTCTGCTTGGCCTTAAATGTTACTCAGAAGTTATACTTCACTCAAAAACTGCCGTTTGGCTACATTCATTTTAAAACGAAGGGCCTTATAAAGGACTAAATCAGATTATTTGCTGGATGGCATTTCCTTTTATCTGTGCTAGAGTAACTACTTTTTAGTCAGGTCACATACATATCATATATTGGTAAAATGGAGAAAATATCTAGAAAATTTAATTTCATCTTATACATTTAAGAGTTGCTCATTAAAAAAGATGAATAGGGGCTGGCCTGGTGGCGCAAGCGGTTGGGTGCATGCGCTCTGCCGCGGCGGCCCGGGGTTCGCCAGTTCGGATCCTGGGCGCGCACCGACGCACTGCTTGGCAAGCCATGCTGTGGCGGCGTCCCATGTAAAGTGGAGGAAGATGGGCACGGACGTTAGCCCAGGGCCAGTCTTCCTCAGCAAAAAAAGAGGAGGATTGGCAGATGTTAGCACAGGGCTGATCTTCTTCACACACACACACAAAAAGATAAATATTGCATTGCAAAAGACTTTTTGTTAAACAGTGCCCATGTTTCCTTTCTCCTCTTTGTTCTCACCACAAGACAAATGATTTGTAATTGTCATATAGAGTCCCATGTCCTAAGTCTTATATAAGTAGTTTAAAATGATTCTTCATGATTGATTTTATTTCTTGAGAAGAGATAATCTTTCCAACAAAATATAATATTTCATGGTTTTGATGATTACATATAACACTTGTTCCTACTATAACCTAGAAAACTCTATAAGATTGATTCGTAATAATTCACACCAAAAATTCACAGACAGTTCTTATAATTTTGCTAGTCAACATGCCAGGTGTTAGGGATACAGAAATGGATGAAGAAAATTCTTGCTCTCAAGATGTGCACATGAGGATGTGAGAGAGAAAGATGTAAATTATTAAATTATGTTTGGTCCAGAGTATCTCAGCGGTCGAGTTAGATTATAAAGTGTATTAAGGACACAAAGGAGTGAGTGAAGGATGTCAAAATAGCTTCATAGAAGTGATACTTGAAGGTGACTTTAAGAATGAACAGCAGTTTGCTAAGTGGATAAGTCAGGAATAAAAATTAAAAAAATTAAAATGGCCAACATAAGCCAAGCATTATACTAAGTATTACGTTAATTAACCCATTTGAGCCTCACAAAAATCCTGTGAGGTACTTAGAATTATTATGCACCATTTAAAGATGAGGAATTGCAGCACAGAGAGATTAATTAACTTTCCCAAGGTTACACAGCCTGTGAGTAGCAGTGACTCTAAACAAAGGCAACAGTAAGTGCAGAGGTTTGGTTTGTAATATTTGAGAAACATTTGCAAAATATAGGCATATGAAACAGCATGACTGGTTGGAGAAAATCCCCTAAGTAAGTTGTCTGAAGCGTCACTATTCAAAGTGGGCCTGTGGATCAGCAGCATCAATATCACTTGGAGCTCATTAGAAATAGAGTCTCTGGCCCCACCCCGGACTACTAAACTTCATGTTTTTTCTTTTTCTTTCTTTCTTTTTTTTTTGCTGAGGAAGATTGGCCCTGAGCTAACATCTGTGCCCATCTTCCTCTATTTTGTATGTGGGTTGTTGCCACACCGTGGCTGATGAGTGGTGTAGGTCTGTGCTGAGTGGTGTAGGATCCGAACTTGCGAACGCTGACCGCCAAAGTGGAGTGCGTCAAATTGAGCCACTACACCACTGGGCCGGCCCCCTAAACTGCATTTTAACAAGATTCTCCAAGTGATTTACATGCATGTTAAAGTTTGGGCAACACTTTTGGTAGAAAAAGATGGACCTATACGTGGATATGGCGGGTGCCACTGGTGCCTCACCATAGGAGTTCAACAACACCCTGTTCAGGAGAAGTCCACTGATGTCAAATTGCTGTAGAGTTCTAAATGTTTACTTTCAATTTTTGTAATTATTTCCTTGTGAACCAGTTGCAAAAGGTAGGCGGTCTGTGGACAACATTTTGAATTGCACTGGTGTAGGAGCTTATGTGTTGGGACTTGGGGTGGGGGGAGGGGATGAGGAGTGCCCCAGAATGAAGGGTGAAGTGCTAGGTTTTAGAATCTCTTCCCTCAAGGAGAAAAGATTTTTCCCAAGTGAGGGAAGTGATGTGTCCTGGAAGTAGCAATAGGGTTTGGGAAACGGCTGACTCCTCAGATGCTGCAAGGGCTGCAGTGCACATGCTGTCCTCTAGATGGAGCCAGACTCTGGTTAGGACCAGGCAGGTGAGGGGGTCTTCTCCCAGGAGGTGGAGAATGCAGAGACTTGTAAAAGCAGCAGAATAAGTCTCTAGAGAACTGAGTGAAAAGGCTTTGTAAAGAAGGGAAGCAGCACTGGGAAGACAAGTCCTTGGTCCAGGGCAGTATGGGAAGGAGATGCTGGAGTGGCTGGTGGGTTATACTGAGGATATAAAGGTGATAGGCTTGGTGGAGTTTAGTGGCCTTAGGGTTTATTGCTTTGAACTCCGAGGATCCCAGGTGTGCCTAGGTGAGTCTCTGCAGATTCACCTCCCCCTTTGGTGCAGTCATTTTGGGGTCCAGTAGAAGTCACTGTGGGCCAGCCCAGGTGGTCTAGTGGTTCAGATTCTGTGCCCTCACCGCCTTGGCCCGGGTTCGTTTCCCAGTCAGGGAACCACACCACCCCTCTGTCGGTTGTGCTAGTGTGGCAGCTGCGTGTGGCTGTGATGCTGAAAGCTCTGCCATGGCGGACAGGTTTCAGCGGAGCTTCCAGACTCAGACAGACTAGGAAGAAGGACCGGGCCACCTGCTTCTGAAGAAATTGGCCACGAAAACCCTGTGAAGAGCAGTAGCGCATTGAGTGACACAGCGCCGGAAGGGGGGAGGATGGCGCAGAAAGACCGGGCTTGGATCCGCTCTTCGTCAACTCGACAGCACTAACAACAACAACAAAAGTCACTGCCGACTGTGCTCTGAGAGCCGTGGCAGTTTTTACATAGCTATACCGTAGAGCTGCTGGTTGTTTGTTTGTTTGTTTTGTCTCCACTGTATACACATGTGCAGCATTTTTATTAGAAGTTTACTATACATATGTTTACTGCATATCAGTAATGCCTTGGTCAGAAAGGTTTGAGTTGCAGACATTTTGGATATATGTCTATATATATTCATATTGCAGATATGTGTGTATATGTTTTGGTATAAAACCCAAAATAAAGAACAGCATGATGTCAAAGAGACATGGAACCATCTTCTTTTGATATTTTTAATTTTAGCTGTGTTTTTAATACTCAGGACCAGCCCTAGCTTTTGTGAGGCTGGGGCAGCAGTATAAATGGAGGTCCACATACCATTTATCTAAGTATTCAAAACTCATAAACCAATACAGAAGACTGATAAATACAATACGTTCTATTAGCCTAATTTAACAAATATATTTTCACAGTGGTGGGGAACAGCAGCTTAGTATTCAGGATGCGTGACCTGCTTAGACTGACTCACTGCTGCAGGGGGCTGGGAGTGAGGGGAGAGCCCAGCCTCGCTGTCAGTGGCTCTGCGAGGGGCCTGTCATGCCTACCTGCGTAAGGACACATGTTTTGTGTGGTCTGAGCCTGTTGTTAGTCATGCTATGTGCTGGAATGCCTGAAGCATTTCCCTGGGCCTGTACTACTTGTGGGAACCCCACAGACATTTCCTGGCCAGAGCTGATTCTGTGGCTGGACCAACCCTTGTGGTTCTTATTATGATTGTAAGACTCACCTCGGAACAACCATCAGGGAACTTTTAAAAAAAAAGATTTGTTACTCACAGATCCTGGAAGGTAGGCGGCATGCCCAGGGCCACACAGCAAGGTCAGGGATGGACCCTGGAGAGACCCTAGAGAGAACATGAGTGAGTGGACGTGGGGCTCTGCCTTTATTAGGGTTGAGGGTGGGGGCCTAGGGTTTGGCAGGTTCACTCAGCAAATTTAAAACATCAGAGCGGGGGCCGGCCCCGTGGCTTAGCGGTTAAGTGCGTGCTCTCCGCTGCCGGCGGCCCGGGTTCGGATCCCGGGTGCGCACCGAGGCACCACTCCTCCAGCCATGCTGAGGCCGCATCCCACATACAGCAACTAGAAGGATGTACAGCTATGACAGACAACTATGTACTGGGGCTTTGGGGGAAAAATAAATAAATAAAATCTTTAAAAAAAAAAAAAAAGGAACAAAACATCAGAGCGGGAATTCGGGCGTGGGAAGGCAAAAGTGGGGTCACTCAAGTAGTCAGTTAACTAGGTTATCCAGGGCTTTCTAAAAGGAGAACTTCATGGGTGGGGTGGCTTGGTCTCTTGTCTAGTTGCTTTACTAGTAGCTGTGTTGTACAGCTGGCAAGATGATTATTTGAGATGGATGTCTTTGAAATGGATTCTTCACAATCAAAGCTTAACGTCAGACACTTACACGGCAACACCTCAG